GTACAAGCCTGTACTTCCACCGTAATGGACTTTAATGAAGAGTTCCAGGACACGGTCGCAAATTTGGTCTTTCCCACCTTCGATCTTCTTGAAGACGCCATTAAAAGATTTACAAAGGTAGGCTTTCATCCGTAATCAACTTTTGTCTAGATGACCGGGAATCAGTTCGCCTTGAAGAAAAAAGTGCGTCATAGGACTGGTGCCCCAATGAGGGAAGCCCATAAATTTCGATACGCTTTCTTTAAATGTATTTGTTCATTTTCCACTGAGTGCGAAGCATTCTTCAATGTTGCTTCAAAGGGGCAAACGTTGCGTGTTACCCAGTTTTACATGGTGCATAATCATGCTGTTGTATATAACCCTGCCTTCAAACAGCATGGTGTAGATGGTATTGCTTGCATGCGTTGGGCTAATATTTTTAGATGACGATGGCTATGACGTTAGATGCGATCTTACCGGCCAGTTTGAGGAATTATTCCCCGTTAAATCTTTCAATACTTTTGATGAATTTCTGGGGAAGCTGCATGAGTTTCAAGATGTGAGGAATGGTTATGTAATAATGAGCTCGTAGGCTACAGGATGTATCTTTGTTAAGAGGAATGCTGATCGATATCCTCCAGAAGCCGTTGATAAGCAGCATCTCGTCTATAAGGCCGTCAAAATGGAATGCGTTCATTACGGCCATCGACAGGATTCAAAGAAGCAAAGTCACACTAATTTAAGGTTCGAATCTATTAAACTGAAATTGTTGCAGAATAAGTTGTAAGATTGGATGCCGCTGCTGTATACATATATCCACATACAAGGGTCGTGTTACAATTGGAAAATACTTCATGAAACACAATCATCCTGTACCAATAGAAGAAGCTATTCAGTACCCTCAAGCGACGCACTTGTCTGCAAGTGATGACTCGCGTAAGCATTTCAATTGTTGCTGTTTGACTTCCTAGATTATAATGTTGTCTATGATGTAACCACTCAATTCGTCGAAATATTTTCTTCGGGTCGGTTTTCCACTTATCAGGACTTCTTGCTTAGGCTTGAGGAATTTCAACGGGTAATGATTCTCAGCCTTATCTAATCAGAGGTGGTTGCAGGAAACAGGTTGTCTATACAGTAAACGCATGTCAAACATGTGGCCGGCAGAGGCAAAAGATAAGGCGCACCTTGTTTACAAATTCGTCATTTTCGATTGCGTCCATTTTGGTTATACTCGAGATAACAGTCGGCGCAGGTCAACGCAGAGAAGGGCTGGATTTTGGTTTGTTCCGCCGTATTAAATTTTACCGTGTTCTTTTTTAAGCTTCCGCGGTAAGGTCGGTTGCAAGTCAACTATGCGAATATCCACCATCAAGGGTTATGTGGAGATCGTGACTTATGAGATGAGGCATAACCATCCAGCCTCCCAAGAGGCGTCCGATGAGTACCAGCCACAAACATGGCTCCTCTCGGGTATTAATGTCGGTGACGATGATAAGGCTTTTAAACGAAGGCGAAGATCAAAAAAGCAGGTTCTAGCCGATTCTGCAGTTGCGGAAGCAGCAGTGCAGAAGACTGATATTATATCGGATCAGCTAGCGAAGTTGAGAGAGGTGGCTCTGGCGGCGCCTCAAGACAAGCTGGCACTCTTTTGTAGCCAGTTGTCAGCTTTCGAGGCTCGATGGCGGCAACAGCTGATGACAGCGTACCAAAGTCAGCAACACCAAGACCCCTCACAGCCCCAACAGGAGGATCTTCCGGATCCTAATGCCTCACCTCCAATCATTCCTGTTAGCGCAAACATCAAACTGGAGACACTATAGCCTCATTTCCTATCCGACGTAAGGAATGTATATTTATGGCTTCTGTAAATTTATGTGTATTTCCGCAGACAATCCATGAAAGAACCTAGTTATTGAGACTTTATCACATCTATTTTTTGTACATAATCTGTTATTCCTAGTAAAGCATGAGTGATTCATTAATTCTGCTTTGTTTGAAGTTTTATGTTTAGTGTCAGACCATTTCCACGCACAGGCTTTTTGGTCATCAGATGTCAATGGGATGGCTGACGGTGGAAGTCACGTTGAGACTTCGCTGTATGCTCTTATTCTGTCTAAAGCGGTATTGCCTTGATGGTGCTTGGAATGTTTGGTGTGTTGTCGGAGTGACTAGGCTCGCAGTAGTGTAATGAGGGAGTGAGGTGAGGGGCTCAAAATGGCAAAATTGTTCATATGCACGTGATTTCATCTAGAATACCTGCGCTAACGCTTTTTATGTGCTACTGAAGAAATGAGTGTCTTACAAATGAGCATCATTAAGTCCTGGTATAAATAGTTAATCAACAGTTAGGATTAGAAAAAGTACTACCGGATCTCAGAGCTCTTAACGTCAACTTTGCCAAAGATACATTCATGAATCCAAGTGCATAATGTGTGCGGCGCTACAAGGCCTCCTTTAATAGGGGGGCTTGTGTAGCTCTTCGCTAATGTGCATTTTTAGCGCACAATAGAGTATGGAGGCACCGATATGGTCCAGAGGTCATCTCACCTAAGAACGGTACAGTGGCAATGCTACAAATTGGAATAAGACTTCAACAGGCACCCAGCACATTGCAAGGTCATGTCAGCCGTCAGAGCACAACCGAAAATGCAAATCATCGAATATCTGCAAAACCGAGTCTGCTCTTGACCAACACCTAACTGGTCCCTCCTGTGCATTTGATTGGATCCGGCTTAGGAGAACTGTAGTGGCCGTTGCTCTCATGGCTAGGCGTAGGTTCTCTCTAGTTGGTAGATGTGAATGTGTCGGGTGTTCATTAACAACTTTGGAGAGACACAGCGACAAGCTCTGCAACAAACTGTACCAAGTGGTTTAGGGCTTAAATATTGTGCCAGCGACGTTTCTAGTTTCCATCATAGGCTCCTAAATATACTCTCTCATCTTACCAAGAGAGCCAAAATGAGAACATCGTTAAGTAAATCTGATCTGACTTGAAGAAAG